GATGTGGCGGTGGGCCGTGGGGAGAGCTTGGTCGATGATGGCTAAGGTTGAGGTCGCTCAAGAATTCTTTTCAGTACTTGTTGACAGTGGCGGACCCACCATTGGGGCGAGCTGGGGCGGCCGCCCCGGCTCGCCGGCGGTGGAGGATCGACCCCCACATACATATCTTTCCTCCGGCAAGCGTCAGATCTCAAGAGAGCCAGCAGCACTGTTTTCTGTTTCGGTGTGGCTGCCTGACCCTGAGTCGAAGGGGTACGTGAGTGCTTCGAGGGAGAAAGAGATTTGGGTTGATGGACTGGGCTGCATTTATTAGTGACTAATCGACATAGTCACAAAGTTATAGACGACAGGTCTCTAATGAATGATAATGTGGTCGAACACATGATTGCTTGTGGAACCGATGACGCAAAGTTATGATTGCCGTAGGGAGGCATATTTGGTTATCCACCATTCCTGAATTTTTGCTTGTACCAGGCATTATAGATGTTTAAATAAAGTGTGGTGGTGACCCCTAAAAAAAATAGACGACAGGTCTCTCATTTGCTCGTCAAACAAAAAAAAATCCCCAATTAACTAACAAATGCCCAATCAACCAGCCGTTCCCCTTACGACCTAGCCCAGTATTGCGCCGCCGCCACATGCCTCACGCACCCACTGTCGGAGTGCCGGTGATGGATTCCATGAAGAGGTCGGTTGGATAGGGATAACTGCTACTGTTGAAGAAGTTGAGGCTGCTGCGGCACTGGTTGTGGCAAGGGCAGTAGCTTCGACACCCAGATCGGCAGTGGCATCCGAAGGTGCATGCAGATCAACCAAACGGATGCGATTTGTAGGTCTCGTTTGGAAATTGGAATTATGGGATTATATTGTGGCATAAGTGAGCATTTCAACCGACAAGAGTCCATTTTAGCAATTTTCTAGTTTTTAAGACCCTTTTTATTCTTTTGTTGTTGAATGTTAGGAGTTTTGGTTGAACAGAGTTGCATTTGTATCAAAAAAATTATACGTTAAATGTTCGCCCTGACTAACTTCAATTCCTGGGTCCACCACTGCTTGTTGGGTTGCTTAATTCGCTGGGTTGGGCTGATGAGCTTTATACATACCACTACAGATAGATGTTGGAGCTTGTGAGTTTTGGTCTCACCCCCGCGCACATGCCCCTGCCCTGAGGCTCACTGTAGATTCTGTACAGAGAAGATTGAAGGCGAGAGTGATCCAACGGCTTCAAGAGAGCATTCGCTCTCAAAAATAAATAAAAAGAGACCCTTCACTCTGTATAAATTGGTGACCATCGATTTGTCAAAAATAATTAAAAAAAATTGGTGACCACCGATGCATATATACAAACCCTAAATCCAGAATCATTACTGTGGAGTACTAAAGAGATTACAGTGCATATATACATACATACATATATATATATATATATATATATATATATATATATATATATATATATATATATATATATATATA